TAGTTTTTAACGGATGCAAACTATCTAGGATTCGTTGTTTTTATTTAACAAGGTCAGTGAACTAGGCAGTGACAACGTGCTGCAAGGGCCATGCTAGTATAAAGGTACACTCCAAGTGTCAATTATGGATTTGGGTCAAACAAAGTGTAAACACTCAACTGTCAGTGTTAATGAGCAACCAAAGGTTTACAGTTATAGATTTTCATTATGGTTTTGGTTTATTTGATCAAGTTGATTGATATTAGTAACACACATTATCGTATTAGATATTCGGTAGTATTATAGAGCATACATAACGTGGGGTACGATAGACCGATGTGCGCTTGCCCAGAGTGGGTCAATAGACCATTGATAGCGGGCACACTAGAGTCGTCGTCGTTCGTTCTCGAACCCCCAACTCCTCACGTGTAAGGCGAGAGATTGAGGTTAGGCCTACCTGGGACTATGGGCGGTGGCGGACGTTGCATCATGTGTGAAGGCCCGGCCTGAGGTCTAGCCAGCCCCAGTCTAGGGCGGAGGTCTGTCCTGGGTCCTAGAGTCCTGGGTCCGGGGCCGGGGCCGAGGCCGGGTCCGGGGCCGAGGCCAGGTCCGGGGCCAGGGGAAGGGAACCGTTGGGGGCCGGGTCCGAGAGGCCCCATAGGCCCCGTGGGTCCGCGGAACCCTACGCCCGGTGGACGCGTGGTCGGAGGACGGAACATCGGCTGAGGCTGTTGGCCCAGACCCTGAGGGTCTTGTGGTTGCCCCTCTCCCTCCCCGATAAGGGTGTTTAACATTTTGCTGGCGAAGCTGAACATTTCGGGACCGATGAGAGTGGGATGGAGCACTCAACATACCACGGCTGCTGTCCGACTGACTCCCTCACTCCCTTATTCCCTCACTTCATCGTGGTCGATACCCCGCGACTTGCGCACCACCGCCCGGTCTACACCACACTCAGCTGACTCTCCGTTCTACACCTCCACACTTATACACCATCCACTTCTGTCTGTTTACTCATATTAATTAATAATTTCCTAGACCACCAGACCACGAATCACAAAGTCCACTAAACATTTTATTGTACTGTTGTTAGAAAGTTAAACCAATTTCCTAAACAATGTCAATAATTATTATTGCTTCATTCAATATCTTCAATAGAATCAATGGATTAGTTATCTAGTACCAATCTCATGGCAAGTGATTTAAAAAGTACAACTTTCATAAATATATATAAACTTTAAAAAAAAATATTACGATACTTTACGGCCTTATAAACTCATCAATGGGCGTATGACACGTTTTCCTCAATAAAACGACGGAATTGTTTGTTTTTAAATGATTCGTGATTTTATATGAAAATTGAAAGTGGATTGATGAATTCCTGCAGCAACAATAGCGTTTCTACTTATATGCTGTGCTCACTCCTTCTGATCTCCAAATGAACATAGTATGTATCAATGAAATTATAATTATTAGTACAGTATATAGTTACACCCCTGTACCAAAATGAGACAAACCAAAATCGATTTTTCACCTCTACAATAAGGGTGGACCGTGTTTAAAAATCTACTTTTAGGATTTTTTCAAGAACGTGTGAATTGCAGATACCTCTAATTGTATTATTCAGGTTTTATACAAAATAATTAGTTTTTCGAAGTAAATTAAGAACGAACTGTGCAGTTATTACATATCTGGTCTTGTTGACCTCTGTTGTTATTCCCTGGAGGCAAGGCTTGTCTTACCTCCAATCCCGGTAAAATTATTTGTCCAAACATCAGTAAGTTATATTTTGCTCCAAACTCAAACTCAAATATCTTTATTTTTAACAGTAAACACTGCATAATTGCGTCAACAAATCTGTTCCATAAATAAACAACAAGTTCTTTTAGACAAAACCTAAAACTAAAAAACATTGTTATGAATAAATCACTATATGTATCTTAAATAGTCCTCGACACAGTAGAAACATTGTGATAAAAGCCTAACTCCTTTGCCAAATTTGTCTGCATTTGTTTCCATCTTCAGGGGAGTGGGCAGTGCATTAAACAGTTTATAGTCATTCTAAAATAATTTTTTTCAAAAAAGCAGTGTTGTGTCTTGGGATGTCTATACCGAAACGGCTTCTCAAACCATAGATAGAGTGAGGCAGATTTGGGAAAAGGTCAACATTTTTCTTAACAAATAGCAGACAGTTCAAAAAATAAATTTACGGAAAATTAAGAATTCTATTGTTAGCAAGTGTTTTACAGGAAAATTAACGATGCTTCTTAAAAACTATTCTGGTGGCTTTCTTTTGCAATTTTAAGACACTTTTGGAATTTTAACACTCATGTCTCCAAATTGCAACTGTGTATGATAGATAAGGAAAAGTCAATCCGTAGTAAGCCACTAAGACCAAAAAAACCACTAGTAAAAGTTGCTAAATTTCTCAATAGGAATATATTCAATTTTTTACAAACAGAATCCGCAAGATTTACTAATTTTGAGTTTTTTAGTCGAATTTACTGGAAACCTTCAGTTAAGATTAGTGAAAATTATTTGTTGCAAGATCTCCTTTAAAACAAGAAAATCCATAGAACCAACAAATTAACTAGGTAATAAATTAAATAAATAAGCTAATATACTCCTAATGTGTATAAGTCCAGGGAGAAATGGGGATTAAATAGATTCTTGACTGGTATTTTTCGTGTTTGGTGCTAGTATACGAATATAATAAAATACGTCCCCAAAAACGTTTCTATATACAGGGTGTCCCAGAACTCTCTACCAAAATGTTAAGGCATTGTTCCTGAGTATGAAACATATCTAAATATCATATTTAAATTAAGTCCTTAGATACTCACACAGCCGCCATTTTTTTCACTTATTAATTTTTTTATCTTACTCAGAAACAATGCCTTAAAATTTTGGTAGAAAGTTCCAGGATACCCTGTATATAAAAAATTGATATTTCGAAAACAAACACACACAAACATAATCTTACCATCACCAAAAATGAACTTTTAACCAAGAATTACTGTGTGTATTATAGATAACACATTTTATTATATTACTAGAAAATTATAAAAAAAAAACAATAGTCAGCTAAAAAATCTAAATAATAATCGTAAATATTTTGAAATACAAAGCCTTCTAAATAAGGTGGATAGTAAGTTTAACTCAGTTATTTTAAAATCATCCGTTTATTAAACTACAACGAATTTTCACAAAATTGTGAACAATAATATAGGAATGCATAAAAGTTAATATTCAGTCTTAAACAATAAATGAAACACAGATTAACTGGCAGTGATTATCTGGGTTAACCATTATATATGTACCTAAGGAACTATGAACAGTGCTGATTTTTACAGTGTAACCAGACAATTTATACACCGAGATATTCTTAACACGTCTCAAATGATAACCCATAATTACATAAATATATATGGTAGTACCTTTAACATAGATAATATCTTCACGAAAATCACTACAAAACCCTGTCTACCAATGCGGTATGAAGTATAAGTAGCACGTGCCAACTAAATATATACACAAATATTGAGTTATTTTACATAGAAACATTGTTTTAAATATCCTAATAGATTTATATATAATTTTCTACTTGAGTAATTTCATAACAAAGCAAAGTTTTAGTTTCCTTAATTATAAAGTTACACTTTTAAAATGCTAATTGTTCGGTAATATTAAATGTCCATTTTTATAATGCAGTATGTTAAATCAATGCATTAAATGAATGAAAACATGAGTGAAAACAATGAATGAAAACAATAGTGTAAAAGTTAAGTTTACTCCTTTTGATGTACGACTGGAGAATAATTAAAATTAAAAGTTTCCCAAGCAAGTATTCCTGTAATACATTTAAATGTAGAAGAAATATAAAACAAATTACCTTTTATAAATAATTAATACTACGGTATTTCTTACATACAATACAACTAACCGTATATTACTATTCAAGCCGAAAATAAATATTTCAATTATGAATTTGGCCATTATCACTAGCGAGACCGGTATAAAATTAAGAGATGAATGATAATTATAATGATAAATGAACTTTTCATACTTATTGACTGGGTATTCTTATCCACAAAATACAGTTAGGCAACTTTGGTATATACTTTGCAACAGTAAATACCGATGTCATAATGGATGATAATTTTTGTACTGAACATATAAATAGGAGCATATGGTTTTTGTTAAATCTTTGGTAAACGAGCATCTCTTTACATTACCACCTTTCTCATGGGCAAAACGTCCTTAACCTCAAATGAAACTTTATTTTACAGTAGTAACATCTCAACACGAATGTCTGGTTATGTTAACAACAGCTGACCCGTTACAAGTCCACTGATTCCACGTGAAATGTCCTGCCAGATCCTGCGTATGGCTGTATCCTGCGCTCATCCTAATGTGGAGGATAGTCACAAGATAGAGGAAGAGGTACTGAAGTAGTCAGTCAACTAAGGGACCAGAGCTAATAATAATGTCTATAGTCTGTAATGTAATTTATAAATAATGGTTCATGAATTTATAAATTGTGTAGCAAATGTTTAACAGTTATATTAAGATGCCCTACCACATAGGAGGGAACCAGTTTTGGTACAGAGAAATAGTCAGTTAAGCAATGAGGTGAAAACCAATACACAATAACCACTGAATGCAGAAGTAAGAGTTTTCAAAGAAGTTTTCTGCAGGACGAAGATTGAGAACACCGAACTGTTTGCTGACTTATACAAAGTTGAGCGTCTTTTTCACGGGTTAGTGTCACTATAGCTAAAGCTTCTGAGGGCTAATTTTATTTTGGTACAGCGTAAGGGACATAATATACATTTAAATAGTAAAATGTGTACTATTGTATGGTAAAGCTATATAATCCTTTGTTATATCTTTTTTGTTAAAAGATGTGTATGTAAGAATCCCAGTGTTGGAATTTTTAGACTTCAAATCATCTGACAAAGCTTTAGAATAAACCTAAATTACATCATATAAATTAGGGGACCTTAAACAGTTTTATCAGCTGAAACGGACATCTTATTATCATTACAATATACTTATACACACGCAAAATCGTATTTAATTTTTTATTGGGAGAATATTGTGTGCAACTACGTACCCGCTACGCATGCATTATCTCAGTGTCTCTATTTTGGGACTCCCGCTTCCTGGGAGGAGGTACAGGGGCAACGCTACCGGGTTTTAACGTGTGCCTCACACTTTTTAACGTTGAATGCCAACAGGGCTTGACGGTTTTGTTTACACCGTAAAAATATAAGAATATAATGATGTAGATGAACAAAGCTAGGGTCATCGCGCCTAGCATGATGATCAATGAGATCCAGAATTTGTCTTCTTCGGCAGCCTGGAAGCTGCCAACCTCGTTGTCTTCGCTCTCGTCTGTTCCTTCCTCTGCTGGAGTCTTCTCTCCATGGACGTCCTCGAAGGGTGTCTCGTCGACGTTGCCGTCCTTGTCCTCGATGGAGATATCTGCGCAGGCCCGGAACTCCTCCTGAGGACCGCATCCTATCCTGCTCGTCGCGTTGTCGCAACGCCCCCAGTTGTTGCTCGCTATATACCTCCATTGTAATACACACTGGGTACAGGTCAGGTCTGGAGGTAACACATATCTCATCTCGTACACCTTGCTCTCCGGGCCTAAAAAGTATCTGGAAAGAGATGATTTTGTTGAACATAAAATATAGTTGTGCATTTTTATGATATTTTTTACTCAACGTTTGGATGTTTAACTCAATGATGTCAGCCACCTGCTCAACTTACATATACCTTATATTAGTACTTGAGTATATTGCTCTCCTAGAAATGTGAAAGTCACCATTTCGATTCTGAGACAGTCAAAGAGAAATATCAAATCACAGACAATCAGAATCAATTTCATGGTTCGAGATTAGGCCGAGGTTACCTTGATCATTAGGGTTTTAATAAAATGGTCCTGACCAAAGAATCAGCAACTTATTCATTAAAAAATGTATCACGTCATTCATTTCTAAGTCAACCTTTACTCGTATTTGCAAACGCACACTGGTGTTTTACTGTAAATATAATCATTTTATCCATCTGCTACACAGGGAACCCATCATAGTTAGTCTATTTTTGTGTTCTATAGGTAACAGATAGTCTAGTTACCGGAGTTCTACTTCAGTTTGCAAAGGTATAAACTACTTTAATACACCCTAAATCATTAAGTATACTTGTATATACATACATATGTATATTTTAAATACATATATATGTATTTTTTTAAATGGGCCATTTTATGGTATGAATTAAAATCGTACTCTATGTTTAAGGCTTGTGATGGGTGTCCAGCTTAACCAGTTGCAATTCCAAAATATTAATCTAACAGCAATTATGTTTTATGTCTGAAATATTTATACTATAAAAATCACTTTTCGATCACGTGCAACGATGTTATAGTGGTTACAACCTACATTATGATGAATCTGAACTATTTTATGCTGGATAAAAACTCGCAAAACTTAAGGTAATGTGATGATTGCCTTGCTAAATTATAATTTCATCGCTGTTTCATATACAAAAAAGATTATAAACTAGACATATATCTAAAAACATTTTTTTATAGTATCTATCATGTTTATAGAGTTTTAAAATGTTTCGCTAATTTGTTAAACAACATCATAGCAATTAGTTAATGTATGAAAGGTAACATACTTGGTGGGATGATTGTTCTCAGCAAACTTATCTCCGCCACTCTTGGCTCTTCTCAGTACGTTTTGATCAAGACATGCTTCAGTAACCACAGTTTGGGGGTTGTTTTGTTTGCAAAGTCTGAACTCAAAATGTCCACGATGATTAGCGGTGATCTCCACCCTGATGGTAAAGGGAGATCCTTTCTTGTATCTTCGGACGATAATGCCTTGACCATACGTGCCTCCTGCCTCGTGGGGCCGTGGCTGCAAACAAGGAAACAGATGATTTATATTTTTATTCAGCCAGAACATTTTCTTTACATTTTAAACTATTAAAAGAAAAGAAATATATTGATGTATACAACAGCAGCTGTAAAACAATAAAAATAAACACTGCGACTTAAGAATAAATAAATAACAGAGCTTGTATTTTGTGACCAATTAATTATTGTCAATACGATGTCCCAAATAAAAACTAACATGAGACATTCAGCCCAAGGCAATTAACAATGAAGAAATTACTAGAAAAAAAATCAAATATAATAGCACGGCATTTATAAAATATAGAAAACAACTAAGAGATTACTGATTATCAGGAAAACAGTCCAGGAGAAATGCAGACCTTTGAAAGGTCAATGACAATCCAAGTATCGTATCTAACAATAGTGGACTACAAGAGACGTTTCGTTGTGATGGGAACGGTCGAGAAGAAAAGTTTATGGTGAGAGTAGATTTCCTTTGAACTGCAAAACACATTGGGCATTTTTGTGGATGGTTTGAAAAGTTAAAATTTAGCAAACAAATCACTTTGAATAACCTTTTCAAGGCTAGGCTCTCCGTATGCCGCAGTCTGATTTAAACGGATATATTCACTAAAATTTTAAATTAAAGATGTTATAATAATTTGCGTGAAAACGTGTGAAGTAAACTATTTCGTTATTTTTAAATTACATAATTCACTTCAAGTCCTCGTTTCAATGTTTAGGAAAAACGGTGGTTTCAAATCACGCTCCCATGTTGGGTAAATTTTTAATCACAAGCCGTTAAACCCGTCGTAATCGCATCATTGGTCACTCTCTAACCATCATCCCGTAAACCTCTACAACTGCAAAACATGATTAAAACACCGCCGATTGGTGTCGCTCCAAAACTCAATTTTATATCCGTTAACCTCTTATCTCTAAATTTGCAAACATCACGGCGTAACTAGCGAACAATGTAAGTCTCGTTTGACAATTTCGCAGTGAAACACTATCAGCCGAATACCTGAATCGAAAGATCCTTTTCCAGGAACTTTCGTGGATCTCATTGGAAGATAAATTAAATTAAATTACAATTAAAATAATGAAATTAGCTTTAAAACTTCTCGATCCTAGTCTTCTCGAAACAATAGGAGGTATAAGAAAACGGGTAAAACGCCGTGTGTTATATGCAATAGATAGTTTAAAAGATGTGGGGCGGGTAGAAGCAACCCTTGTAAATTGTACAGGTCCTGGATTAGTCATGGCTGTGGGGCTGTAGCTCAGACATTGAATATTAAGTGGTTTATCTTGATTCAAGAACACAGACAAATTAGTGCCAACTTGGATTAGCGGTAGATTTAATTTTTCAACAAGAATACTTGACATTTTTGCAAATTTGTTTTAGCATTTTATATAGTTTTAAATAAATAACAGAGACTACTTGACCAACCCTTTCTTTACATTACATATAGACGAACTTGTATCATCAGAGTTTTATAAATTCAAAAAATATCTCTCTGTATCAATGAGGCTTAGATTAAAACCCATTGTGCTTTGAAGGCTGAAGATCAGTTAAGATGATTCCTTATAAACTAATTGAGAACAGTTTGAAAGGCCACACGTACTTCAGGGTGACCCGGAACTCTCTAAAAAATTTTAGAGCATTGTTCCTGAGTAAGAAACATATATAAATACCATATTTAAATTGTCCTTAGTTACTCACACAGCCACCATTTGATTTTGTTTTTTCCCCTATTATTTTTTCTAAAGAATGCTTAAACATACGAAATTGAAACGTTGCACAAACATTTATGACAACCAGAAAAAGCTACCAGAAAATGATGACAATTTTCCACATTTATAAAAGAAAATGGCGGCCGTTTTAACATTTTCAATTCAAATTTACAAAATGATTTTACAAAAGTGTTACAAGAATAACTTTTTAATGCCATATTATTACAAATCGATTGGCATCTGATTTTTTAAAGATTGGATGCATATTAATATGGTAGCTTTAGTAATACGTGACCGCTTCCAGCATGCTAACCTCCAGCGGTCACGTATCACTGAATCTGCTATATCTCAGCTAATATTCATCCAATCTTAAAAAATAAGGTGTCAATCGATTTGTAATGAAATTTACTTAAGAAAGTTGTAAGACTTTTGTAAAATCAACGGTTTTTGAGCTATTTAAGAAACAAAACTTTAAATGGCCGCCATTTTCTTTAATGAATTTGGAATATTGTCATAATTTTTTTTGTAGCTCTGTCTAGTTGTGCAAAGTTTCCATTTCGTATGTTTAACCATTCTAAAGAAAAAAAAACTAATAAGTGGAAAAAGCAAAATGGCGACTGTGTGAGTAACTGAGGACTTCCAGACAATTTAAATATGATATTTAAATATTTTTCTTACTCAGGCACAATGCCCTAACATTTTGGTAGAGATTTCCGGGACACCCTGTACAAAAGACCCACATTGATATAAAAAAATACAATTTGCAACTCTATGGACCACAAAAATACTTTTGCTGCATTTATACGATGTTGTAGTTTTCAACTCTCCCTTTAGATCGTGTTAAAATTTGAATTTGAAAAAAACTCATTTTATAATTTTTTTATTTAGTGAGGATGCCAATACTAACCAAACCATTAAAGGCTAAAGATGTTACTTATTAAATAAATAAACTGCTGAAGTTTTCTTTTTTTATCATGTTTCTAGATATGGTATAATGGTATAACCCGATATCCGACATTCACATCATCAGGCTTGCATTGGTATAATCTTTCTCAAGCTACGATTGTAGTGCGTACTACATAACTTTTTAATGAGGGTGTACAGTGTTAAAGAGAAAATGGTGGACATCTAGCATGACAGTAAAACAACAGTAAAACAAATCTTAAACTGTTGTCTTGAAGTGTTTTCCCCACATAAAGTACAACAGATTAACTAAGCATTTTTATACACAGTCCACATTTTACAACTAAGCAGCTGCGTGAAAGGCTGACCTGAGGTAAGTCCCAAGCATCCCCGCAGACTCCACATTTCCCGCCATTTCGCACCCATTGGCGGTACAACCCTCCACAGTAGGTCTCGTGGTCGTTGTAGTTTGGAGGGGATTTGAAGCCATATCTGGAATCATAAGATAAGCAACAATTGTAAACTGCTAACTTTGGATCCCTGACCAATTACATGTTCGTTACGGTTATGCTCCTGGAATCCTATAATTTAGGATTCGATTAATATAAAATGACGTGAATAGCTTTACTAGTTTTAAAAAGGTGCTTCTTCGATGATAAGAATAATAAAAATCTTAAACAGTTTTTCAAATTGATAACAAATTAAAGTGTATGCAGTTCAAAAGATTTGGTGATTATAAAGAAGTATTTTTTTTTTTTTTGGGACATTCACTGCGGTGAGCACAATGAATCCCTGTAAAACCACTCTTGAGTATGGATAGTAATAAACATCTACAGTATTTCCATACTTTCGTTAGTTTTAGAATAAACATGAACGTGGTTACAAATAACAACTGACACAGCACAGTGTTCCTAGGTATAAGTTGCTGATTTCTGTAAAATATACACAATCTTGCTAAATGAAACTCCTATTTTATACAATAGCCCCTTTAATGTCACATTAACTATCTCAGTGACAAAAATTAGGAGGGGTAAATAGAATTGAAACAATAGCGCACTCTTTGAGTGACTCATTCAAATATTTGTTTCGTAAGAGATTGACTAGAGCTGTTTCATATAGATGCGATATCTACTTCAGTAGGTGAAATTCAATCAACCCCCTAAACGACCAAACCCAACATAACGTTATAAGAAATTATATTGACGCTTCAACCCACAAAATAATATTAAGTATAATTATTGAGTAATTGAGTGTTTCGACATACCTCCACATGGATGCTCGGGAGGGCGGTTCGATGAGTCTACCATGTCCCAGGACATCAGACATCCACAGGATCAGCAGGGGCAGAGACCTGGCGACTTCCGGCCATCCTAACATCTCTGCGGAACACCCCCTTCATCAACCTGCAGACATTAGAGAAGTTACAAATGGTCCTGGATAAACAGCTGATCTTGGTAAGCGAAAAAGTTCTTCTTATTCATTCAACACATTCTTCACTCATCTTCTTGAAATACGTACCCTGATGGAAATAGGTAAATAAGAATGGCATGAACGAAGAATGCCTCGGAAAATACCTACAGTGTGTATTCCACTAAGCTGCTGATCGGGCTTTTCGTGTGATTGGGCATGAACTGGACAACATTCGTAATTTTAAGGATTGGTCAGAAAAGGTTTTGTCAATTCCATAACACGTAATGGACAACAAACTAATTCAGCTCGAGATGATGTTATACAGAAAGGATTACAAACTCGGGTAGCTAAGTGAGTTATTTTCCTAACCTAAAGCTAAATGAGGCACTGAGGTGTTTAATGAGACGAAAGGTTATTCAGTGCGTTATCAGCCCTTTTCCCAAGCTTTACCTGTTCGATGATGGTGAGGGTGAGAAAATTTGTGAAATTCGTGCCAAGAACCCGTATGAGCTCATTCCACTGTTTACTTGATCAGGCATCTACAGGCATTTCTAACAAAGTGTAACCAAAATTGCATCTGGTATTCTTCATTATCTTCGTATAGTTGAAAATAATGAAATAACTATACTATTTTTTATTACTAAATCATTTTTGGTAATTTCTTTATGTTTTTTCGTGTTCTTCACAATCATACAACAATATAAGATGGAAATGTGACTTATGGAAATTGGAGTACATGAATTGGGAATGATCTTGCTAAGCTTCACGAACCACGTTCTAAGCTACTTTGTTTTGTCATACACATTGTTTTTGTATCATAATTGTTGTATATTTTTTAAGTTAGTTCTATTGACATGAGTTACTTTGTAAAACAGTGCTTGTACTGAAAGACGCTCGTGAATAAAGGTATTTTTATTTATTGATTTATTTTATAGGCTAATATCACAGATAATGGAGGAATACCTAAATACTAGAAATCCTTAGCCAGAAGTGCAATGATTATTTTCTGTTTTGAAATGTATAGACTAAAGTGCTATCCAAAAAATATAAAAATCTATACAATAAAGAAAAAAGGTAATTAGTGAGATGACTGGACAATACTTAAATATCTGTTGTATCACAACCAACTAATAGCTTTAAAAAAACAACTTGTGTGTGTTTGTTTTATTTGTTGTAGCGAGGATGTCTTTGTGTGTGTGTTTATGACCGGCACAAACATCCACTTGAAGAAGTGATTTGCAATAATGGGATAGGTGAGAATTACTATCCGTGGTAACCATAAGGGAAAGGTGTGTGTTTATCTATATAATTAATACGCTACATGAAACTTTGTCGGTTGAACTCCTCCACCATTTCTCGACCGATTTTATCCATTGACGTCTCATTGGAAAGAGCGTGTCACGTAGATTTGCAAACTGGCCTTACATTTTTTTAAAGTCCTTGGGCTCTGCCCCAGTGGCTTTGATAGTTCCCATGTTATCCTTATGAAGAACTAACTGTTTACATTTTGATCAGCTGTATAATTTAATTGCTGATATTTATTTTTCAATTCAATGAAACGCATTGAGTACATTTATTTACTATTTGAGTTTGTGTAAACATAACCCCCAAGACGGATCGTGTTGTGTTAGTATGGTTGTATCTTAAATTTGTGCATTTATCGTTGTTTTGTGTAGCTATAATTTGTTTATGTGTTGTTTTTTCTTTTAAATTCTCAGCACCTGACCCTGGACAATCTCAACTATTAGGTTACAAATGCGCCCTAACACTAACCCAAAACAACTTTTCGTTCTCAATTGGCCCTCTATCAATGACCTGTGTTGTCTCTGCAGTGAGGCATTTTGAGAAGGAGAAAACCGGCCGGAATGCTTTAGGTTTATCAATAACGAAGATAAACATGGTCTGAGTTACACACCGGTATTTTTTGAGTTGCCTCTTTTAAACTCATTGTAAATATGACTGTTAGGGCCTATTCATTTTGAAATAACTCCTGTAATACTTTGCAATTGCTCGAATTCGAGCAACATGTACACTAGTTCATATTAATGTCTGTTAATTCGAGTACAACTGCAAAACGTTTTACAGTCAAGATTTAACTCGATAAGCCAGAGCTACATTCACCCGATGAGAATGAATTGTTTCACTGAATAGATTAATTCTAAATAAATTGGATGTAAAATGTATTATGCTCTAAATTATAAACCAAGGTGCAAAGTATGTCCAACACAGCAAAAGACTTACTAATACATAGACAGATTTTGTTGTACCTTATGGCGTTTTATGTACAATATAGTGAAGAAGTGAAAGAGCCATTTCGAGTAAACATGCCATTACTTAGAAGCACACACTGACATAAGTTCGTCCATGTGACATCAGGGCTGTTGAATAAGCACTTTAAACTTGTCAGAAAATGTAAAGTGTGTTCCATCAATGTAATAAGATCAATAAATATATCGATTGTAGAATCCAAGCTGGAACCTTGACCTAAAGTAAGTTTATTTATAATATGGAAGATATAGTGGTTCGATTTCTTTTATGTTAATTGTTTGGTTTTGTCAAGACTATCAAATTATATCAAACTCGACCATACTATTTGAACATTTTGAGCTACCCCCCACCCACATTACCCCTAAGGGCAAAATTTTTAAAATTAACCATTATTATTGTATCCCCTCATCTTTAAAAAGGTTGTTGCAAATCGATTTCAAATATCTCAAATAGTTAAAAAGATAAGGGGGGTGCAAGTTAATTTTCAGCCACCCTCATGGTTATTTGGATTTGATACGTTTTAGGGCGCCATTTTGTTATTTTTAGTCTGATTTTGGTTTTCTTTGTGTCAATTGTTTAGTTTTATCAAGACCTGTAAAATGATACCAAACTTGACCATACTTCCTAATTGAAAATTTTAAGCTACCACCCCCACACTACCCCTATCGGGAAAAGTTTCAAAATTAACCATCATTATAGTAGCCCCTCATCTCTAAAAAGGTTGCCACAAACTGATTTCAAATATATCAAATTAGTTACAAATTTAAGGGGGGGTGCAAGTTAATTTTCAGCCACCTTCGTGGTTATTTGGATTTGATACGTTTTAGGGCGCCATTTTGTTATTACTGGTCTGATTTTGGTTTTCTTTGTGTCAATTGTTTGGTTTTGTCAAGACCTAAATGATACCAAACTCGACTATACTTACTATTTAAATTTTTGAGCTACCCCCTACCCCTGCTAAGGGTAAAATTTTCAAAATTAACTATAATTATTGTAGTTTCTTATTTCTAAGAAGGTTGCCTCAAACCGATTTCAAAAATCTTAAAATGTTCAAAAGTTAAGGGGGGGGGGGTAGCAAGTTACTTTTCAGCCTGTATAATTCTTTGGCCATTTTAAGGGTCAAGTAATGTCAATTTAATTTGCCCTCAAAGTCACTTAACGCATACCCTAAAGTCCTAACGGCCATTGAGCCTCCTACACGCCACTTTAAAGGTCGACAACTGGGTAAAATCTTTCCAAACACTTAACCCTTTATTACAAGTAGGGCTACGCTTGTTTACCCAAGAGAATTATTGATTACCCCCAACAAATGTTTAGTGTCACGAAACGCTTAATTTATTACGGCAATTTAAACAAAATAGCTGATAATGGGAAATGACGAGACAATTGAGGAAATATTGTTATTAGTTAGTTTCAAATTAATAGTTATATATTTTTTATAACCAAACAAGTCATGCAGTTTATTTTTAAAATTCCCAATATTCAACTACATGCCTTAAACTCATAGTTTACCCAAACTCATAAAATTTTACTACTGTAATTTCTTAAATCATCTTCTGTTGTATACCTATTCAGATTGAAATTCGTAAATTTAATTAAAATTTTTCGAACCATTCGTAGTAATAAAATGGTACTGTAATACCATTGTTAAAAAATGCCGAATTAATTACAAAAGTACTAATTTACATTATAAGAATAGAAAAGGTTAAAATAAATGGAGGGATTAGAAAATCGATTATGTGACTATTATTATTTTTTTAGTATTTATTATCACTGGGAATAGAATGAAGCCCTACGGAAGAGTTATGTTAAGTGTTTGAACGTTCAAAAATAATTTTATTTAGAATACCGGTTGGACTTTAACTGCTGTAACATTACGAAGCCAATCGATTTATGATTATTTAATCACTACGGGCTTATTCCAAAACTAATTCATGAAATTATTGAAATAATTCTTAATGAAACGTTAAAGAAAAGTGCACATTAGAAACATATTATTAATAAGGTACACATCATATAAATAGTAAATAGTAGTTTTATAATTAAATACATCATTATTACTAATACACAGATAATTGTATACTTGGAGCTGTGTATTTTAGTAAAATCAATTAATCCATAAGTAATATGTACCCAAACAATTAGTTTTTTTTTTATTGTTGAAGCAGATACATTATTCTTTATTGAGTTTCTTGAATTGGAAACATTGACAATGGGGAAAAAAGGATGCAAGGGCTAATAAAATGAATTTCCTTGTCATCCCTTAAAGGGAAGTCCATAAATTAGTCTTCATTATTTCTTTAATTTTAATAAATATACATCCCATAAACAAACCTATCTTGGATGTTGTATATAATATTTATAATTGTGAAGACAATACGATTAGTGACACCATTAATGTTAAAACTAGTTGTTGAATGAAAGTAAGTTCAAAAACAACACTAAGTTATTAATTCCAAATTCTGTGTTTCGAGACATTTTGATGCATCTTTTCTGTTGGAAAGGCTATCATCAGAAACAAAACTAAAAAAATATATAAATGATTATAATAGGCCTATAACTAATAACCCAATTATGAATCAATATTTAACGAAATGTTATTTATAAATAGGTTGTAAACAAAGAGAGTAAGGTGATGTGGATTAAAAACCATATTTTAAAATTATAAAAATATATCTAAAATTAAAAGCAGTAAATGATGTCTTACAAAAATAT